TTTTGCAGGATATTGGGTAAAGCGCTTTGAGACGTCTCGAAGACATGATGAGGCGCTGTATCAAATGCAAGGATTATTCTTATTATTACAAATGAAGAGCTGCACTATTATAACAACAACAATCCTTGCATTTGATATAGCGCCTTATCACGTCATTTAGACGTCTCAAAGCGCTTCACAGCATATACTAAAGTGTGGTGATGGTGTGTTTCGCAGGCGTCAATTGCACACAGCAGTTTCCCACAATCGTGGATTGATTGACCACATGTTTTAATTCTTTGTTAATATACAAAGCTGTTGACAGAATGGATTATTATTCATTCTGGGCGCAGTGAGCTTTACGTATAAAAAAGCTGTTTCCTGCCCTTTAGCCAGGGGAAATTCTTTGGAACGTAAGCAATCTGCATAATAAAAACCTATTTCCAACATAAAATGACTTTTTTGAGAGCTGTTCGGTTTGAATGAATCATGGGTTATTTTTTTTATGATGGATTCGTAGTATCACCTTGATCACACGTGAGACGGTAATTCCCCTCAACAACGAACCAGTGAATATCCTTCTTCTCACGCCCAGATCACAACCCCCCCACCAACAGCCCTTCCTCTCCCCATTCCCCTCCATTCCACCCCCCCACCCCCACCACCCACATTCAATCTTTCTTGTGAAGGCAACCTGCAGTTTTAACTAGTTAAACTCCATAGTGCACGCTTTTGAGGTACCTGAAGTTTCGCCTCCATTCAACCCTTTACTTAATACTTTCTGGGATTAGTAATAATAATAATCCTTGCATTTGATAACGCTGGCCATTAGGACTTTGCTGTGGGCAAAATGGTTGCTGCATTTCCCTACAGAATATAGTCACTGTAAGTGATAGTAATTACTGAGGTGCTTTGACGTGTTTTGGCGCTGTGCCAAGTTTTTATTTTTGACAAACAGAAGCGTTACGGCAGAGTGCGATAGAAGAAGCATTCTGCAGTCACGCAGACGAACCAACAGAACTTCATTCCTAAAAAAAAATTAATTTTGCGAATCCAAGCTCTCGAAGTGAGCTTGTTTAAGTACCTTCACACACACTCTTCACAAATGGCGTGATGAGCGAGAGAGAAGGGAAATTCCACTGTGCCTTTACTCCCACCCCACCCCCTTAACAAAAACCTTTCCGCCTCTGCCGTCAAGTGCATAAAGGGCAGATTGTGACTATGAGCTGCGGCTCAGTCACGCAGCTGGCTCCAGCCATGCACTCCCAACCGAGCTCTGAACAGGTAACCTCTGGCTGCCCTCTCCCTAACCTACCTCTCCACAGAGAGCTTTCTTCCACCACACAGCAAGGCCTGTGTAGAGCCATTCTACCCACCAACTCCCTGCTCGTTGGCCTTCCCAACTCTTCCATCCGCAAGCTGCAGATCGTCCAGAACTCTGCAGCTCGTGTCCTCTCCCGCACCAGGCTCAGTGACCCCATCAGCCCCCCCCCCATCCTTGATCGGCTCCACTGAATCCCCATCCCCCAGAGGATACAGTTCAAAATCCTTGCCCTCACCTTCAAAGCCTTGCTTCCTACCTCTCCGACATGCTAACCCCATAATCAACCTGTCCGCTTCCTCTTATTTTATTTTATCAAGACCCTCCACTTCGACCGTGGCCTTGGTCACTCTCTTCCCCCTCCTCGCTCCCTCCCTTCCCTCCCCTCACCCTGACCATTTCCCCCCTGCTCGGGTCATGACCCAACTGTGCAGCGCCTTGGGACGTCCTCCTGACGTGAAAGGCGCTTTATAAATGGAATCTTGTTGTTGTTGTTGTTCCTCCGCTCAGCAGGCTCTGGTTTGCTCCATGTCCCAGTCCGGCTCACCTCACCATCGGTCGGGCCTTCAGCCTCTCTGCCCCCAGCCTCTGGAACTCCATCCCTCAGTCCCTTCACCTCATTCCCTCCCTTGCCTCCTTCAAGGCATGTCTCAAGACTCTCCTCTTCGACTAAGCCTTCGGCCATCCTGCCTGTGATCCACTTCCAACTCCAAAGGGACTGAAGATACCTTTCACGCCGGAATCTTTGGGACGTCCCTTAACCTCAGCAAACCCCTTCCCCCCTCCACAGGAGACTCCACTTACTTCCCTCTCTCCATCCACGAGATGGACCATCCACTCATCTCTCTGAAGGCTCCGTGACACTTGTACCGGGGGAGTACAGTTCCAAGGAATCTCACTCCATGTGGCCATTACTCATCTGTGTCTGTTACCAGGGTATTCAACCACATTGGGATTTGGGTGTGGGAGTAGATGGGGGAAAAGAAAGAATTATAGCCCAGCTCGATCCTGTCCTCACCTTTCACTCAGTAGGTGATAGCTGGACCACCTCAGGAGGGAGGGGCGCTGATTTTACCCAACCCACAGAAGCCGATTGCAACCCCAACTCCTGACTGAGCTGAGATCAGTAATAGACGGGACCTGGGTGCAATCTGGGTGGCGTAAATTACCCACTAGATAAAACTGCTGTATGTCTCGACGACGTAATAAGGCGCTATATCAAATGCAAGGATTATCTCAAGAACCTCCACTTCGACCGTGGCCTTGGTCACTCTCCTACCCCTCCCCCCTGCCCTCCACCAGTTGATCCCAAACCCCTGCTCAGGTCCATATCCTTGACTGTCCAGCATTCTGGGACGTTCTCCCGATGTAAAAGGCGCTGTGTAAATTTAATTTGTTGTTGTTGTTGAAGGAGAGACTGTAATTCACTGGGTTTCTTTTCTCTTTTACAGGAAGAACACATTGAATGATCGGCCCTGGCTTCCTGCCCTGCCCTCCATTTGCTCCTTTGGACTGACATTCTGAGCTGTTGCGGATTTAATGCTAATTGTGATAGGGGTTGTAAATTTTGACCAGCTCCTACATGTTAGCATTAGCTCTGAGACGTGGCTGGTGACGGCACTGATGAAGATGATGAAGGCATGAGTGGGATGAGGGGAGAAAAAAATAGACGAAAGAGCAAAGGAGACAGAGAGCAAGTGATGAGTATGTCTCCTGGTGTCCTGGCCCTCAAAATAAAATTGGTCGTTCAATTCACGACTGTTTGTGTGACACCTTAGGTAAGTTTCCTTTCTCCATACGCTTCTGCTTACCTAGCAGAAAGTAGGAACCTGGTTGATAGTCAATTGTCGGATCGTTTCCTGGGGATAATAATCCTCAAAAAAAAGTTCTTTTTTAAATAAAGTTGGTTACTCACTCTATGGCTCTTTGTGGGATCTTGTTGTGCGCAATTGGCTGCTGGGTTTCACCTATAAAATACACAGTCACTCCACTTTACTGTATATTCTGTGAAGCGTTTTGAGACGTCTCAACGATGTGATAAGGCGCTACATCAAATGCAAATGTATTATCATAAGTATCAGGGAAGGCAGCGAGCGAGAAAGGGCAGAGAAAACAAAAGCCAGATGAACCAATAAGATGAGGATGAAGAGCAGGTCCGTGAGGCTGCGAAAGAGAGAAAGCAAGTGTGAAAGAGAAAAAAAGAAAGCAAACCCGAACGAGAAAGGCAGCGAGCAAGAGCACGTGAGAGGAGAGAAAGAGAGAGAGAGAGCAAAGCAAGTAAATGAGAGGGACAATGAAAGAGAGGGGGAACAATGAATCAGTTTCTGGGTAGATTAATCTTGCAGTACACCGGAAGTTCTGTACAAAACATTGGCCCAGGATATGAAAGACCAAAACGCAACTGCAGCGATGAGGTGTTTTCAAGATAAGCTCACCACAGAAAAGGCGTTAAATTAAGCAGCAGCTATGATCCCACTAAGGCGGAAAATCGTTCCTACTCCATTGACCTTTAGTTACCAGGCTCCACTATGACGCCCTCCTTCAATTCCAGGAAACGTATTGGGGTGTATTCCTAGCAAAAGCAATCGCTGCTACCTCCATTATAGCTCCGCAACAAGTGTCGTGGAGTCCTGTAGCTCAGTGGCTGGAGCACCCGCCTTGCAAGTGAGAGGACCTGGGTTCGATTCCTAGACAGGGTGAAACGTTAGGCAAGTTACCTTGCTCCACACACACTGCCGTTTACTTAGCAATAAGTAGAAACCCAGTTGTTAGTCGACTGTTGATCGCTTTTCCGGGAGTAATAATTCCGTTTAAAAAAATTAAGACTAATAAATTGGTCACTTCAATCCACAACTGTTCGTGGGACACTGCTGTGAGCAATTGGCTGCCGCGTTCCGCCCACAAAATACACAGTCGATTCACTTCACGGTATATTCTGTGAAGCGCCTTGAAACGTCTCAAAGACGTGATAAGGCGCCATATCAAATGCAAGGATTGGTTGGGGGGATAATCACCCCCGGAAAGTGACGCCAATCGTCTAACAACTGGGTTTGAGTGCATTAACTGCACGGATTTCATCTCCTGACCGATTAAGAAATAACACTACGGTCACAGACACCTATATTCACACAGCAGAGATATGAAATTTACAAGTGCTTCAGATGTAGAAAGGCTTTCAGTCCATTGCATCTCATCCTTCTAGAATATCAAGCCTATCATTTCTTTCCCTTCTCCCCCACCCACGACCTATTTTAGTCATCGATAGATGTTGTGGCACCCTGCAGCTCAGTGGTTAAAACACTCGCCTCACAAGTGAGAGGACCCAGGTTCGATTCACAGGCGGACAGGTCAAAACATTGAGCAAGTCTCCTTACTCCACACGTCTCTGTTTACCCAGCAGTAAGTAGGAACCTGGTTGTTAGTCGATTGGAGGATTGCTTTTCCGGGGGTAATAATTCCTTTTAAAAAAATAATAAATTGGTCACTTCGATCTACGACTGTTTGTGGGACGCTGCTGTGTGCAATTGGCTGCAATTGGCTGCTGAGTTTCACCCACAAGATATACAGTCAATTCACTTCACAGTATATTCTGTGAAGCACTTTGAGATGCGATAAGGCGCTATATCAAATGCAAGGATTGTTATTAACATCATTCTTTGCCTTTACCCACTTCTCTTCAACAGCAACTACACCCATCCAGTACACTTTTATACATTTATTATCCATACCATTCTGTTGACATTATATATTAGACATAAGAACAAACTGGGATTTGTTTAAGCTTCTCACGCCCCCACCCCGACCCACCCCCTCACCCCTATTACGATGCTGTTGTTTTTACAGTCTCTGTTTGAGCTCCTTCTTCTGTCACCTGCAGAGCATAGAACAAATGCAGTGTTAGAAATAAAAGCGTAAAGGACATAAATCATCATCATCACCAAAAGCATAAACGAACAGAGAATTTAGGATTAGGATTTTTTTTTATATATAACAACAATTTGGGTCCCGGAGCGCTTCACAGTGGCAGACGGGGAGGGAGGGGGAAGGTGACCGTAAGCACGATCAAAAAGGAAGGTTTTCAGGTGGGATGCGAAAGTGGGGAGGGAGGAGACAAGGAGGAGGGTTTGAGGGAAGGACTTCCAGAGTTTCGAGGCATAGTGGCTGAAGGCACTGCCGCCGATGGTGGAGCGGAGGGGACGAGGGAGAAAAAAAAAACTGGAGCCAGCCAAGCGGAGGCAGCGAGTGGTGGAGTGGGGTGGGGGGTAAGCAAATCGGAGAGGTAGGATAGGGAGGGCATGAAGGGATTTGAAAACTATAATATGTTAGGACATTGAATGCCCAATCAGACATTGATTGAGGCAGAAACTGTAATAACTTTCGAAAGGGTAATTAAGAAAAATATTTCAAAAAGAAAATGATGGTGAGGACAGGGGTAAGAACAGAGGAGTGGGACTAAACAGAGAGCTCTTTCAGAGAGCCGGCATCTCTCTCAGAGAGCCTTAAAGCTCTGCATTCCATTAACGTACCAAAATAATATTGGTGAGCGTACAGAAGCAAATGGTCTCCAAAAATCACCACAAAATATTCAGCTTCCTCAAACCTTCTGAGGATTTTATTCTTGCATTGCATTGACAGCGCTTAACAGAGAAAGAGAAAGGAGATGAGAGAGGAGAAAGAGAGCGAGAGGAGAGAAAGCGGAAGAGAGAGAAAGAACTGAACATAGAATATATAGAATCATAGAATATTACAGCACAAAAGGAGGCCATTCGGCCCATCGTGCCTGCTCTTTGGAAGAGCTACCCAATCAGTCCCACTCCCTCCCCCGCTCTTGCAAGTTTTTCCTCTTCAAGAACCTATTCAATTCCCTTTTAAAAGTTGTTACTGAATCTGTTTCCACCACCCCTTTCAAGTAGTGCGATCCAGACTGTAAATGAGGTACATTTGACACTGCAGCTAAGGCCATAACAACATTTCAACGTCACAAAGAACGAGCAAGGAATTGGGATCAGAATAGAGGAGGCAAGATCAGGGGAATGGAATTGGGATTAAAGCAGATAGTCCCGGGTTAATGGAAACAGCACCAGCACAGACACGATGGGGAAATAAGAGGGGAACGGTCTACAGTAGATTAGAGCTGTGACCCAAAGAATTGAATGGAAGAGCCTCAGCTATTCCAACTCACCAGTTTCTGAGACCTCTGCCGCAATCTGTCCCACACAGAGAAGAACGACTGTGAGAGGAGAAAAAGTCACATTAGTCTGTGTGAACCACATCTTTCAAAGCATCCAGGCCCCACTAATGGAGACATCCCTAAGTTATAATAATTATTGCTTTTAAAATAGCCCTGGTAATGTCCAAACATCTCAAGTGGCTTCACAGGGAAATGCTATCAAGTGTTGAAATCCTCAATCCCTCCCCCTTGCTCCCCCTCCCACCATTTTTCAAGACCTACCTGAAGACTTTTCTCTTCGACTGTGCTTACGGCCAAAATACCCTCGCCCCCCACCCAGAGCTCGGAATCAGGCTCTGCCACTGTTAAGCGCTCTGAGACGCTACCCTGCATGGAGAGTGCTGTATAAGATGCCAACTGCGCACAGCAGTGTACCACAAACAGTCGTGGATTGAGTGACCAATTTATTATTTTTTTTAAAGGAATTATTACTGCCAGAACAGCGATCCGCCAATCGACTAACGACCGGATTCCTACTTTCTGCTTGGTAAAGAGGCGCGTGTGTGTAGAGGTTTCACCCTGGCTGGGAATCGAACCCAAGTCCGTGCTCTAACCACTGAGCTACAGGACTCCACATGATACCACGTGATATCTCTTGTGTGCCTCAGCTCTTCAGCGAGCAAACTTCCCCCACCACACAAACACCGCCCAGCATTCGCATGCGGCCTCCCTCTGCATGTAATGGGATGAATTTGATCTTCTGGCTTCGATGCATTCCGACACTCACTCACCCTCATGTGAGCAGGCAGCGATAGACCCTGGAACCTGCGAAGCAGCCCTGCCCCGTGGTGCCCTGCGCCCAGGTTGTGTGCGGCAGTGATCTCAAACTGAGAGCAATAGTTAGTGCGGGGGATGTGTGGTCCTTCACTCACGTCCACAAATTCATCGCATCTGTAGAAAAAACAGTCAGAAAATGTTCAGCTTGTACCCCTCCCTCCACCACGCACACACACAAATACACAAACATCTCTACTCCCCAATTGATCCCCATATACATCATGTCAATTGCACACCTTTCTCCCCACACCCCCCACAACAACAACTTGCACTTATACAGCGCCCTCCACGTAATCAAACGTGTCAGAGCGCTTAACAATGGCAGAGCCTGACTCCGAGCTGCAGGGGAAGGAGGGGGTGGGGGTGGGAGAGAGAGAGGTGATCGTAAGTACGATTGAAAAGGAAGGTTTTCAGGCAGGACTTGAAAAATGGCGGGTGGGGGGCGGGGCAAGGCAGAGGGATTGAGGGAGAGTGTTCCAGAGTTTCGGGGCATAGTAGCTGAATGCGTGACCTCCAATGGTGGGGCGGGGGGTGCACGAGGGACGAGCAGGAGGCCGGTGTCGGTCGAGCGGAGGCGCCGGGTGGTGGATTGGGGAGTGAGGAGGTCGGAGAGGAGGTCGGGAGGTGCCAGAGAGTGAAGGGATTTGAACACGAGTGTGAGGATCTTGAAGTCAATCCGTTCGGTGATGGGGAGCCAGTGGAGCCTGGGCCAGAACTGGTGAGATATGGGTACGGATTTAGATCCAGGTTATTATGCCCCACACACACACACACTAACCACACATCAAGCCCTCCCGACCTGAAAGATGCTATCCAATTTGTCACACTCGATACCCATATCATACCCCTCTTGGCATGTGCCGGTTCAATTGTTTTTTTTTAAATAGACCTTTCCAGACCGACTCTCATATTCCTCATTGTTTTCATATCCTGTTCCCTTTTGAACAATTCTGCCCAACCCCGATAGCCACTTGGGTCAACAAGAGTGCTCTCACCTGTACAGCTTCACCAGTCTGTTGGGGTGGAGAGAAGCCATTTCCTCGATAGTATCCAACTTGTGCCTGTGAAGACATCCATGAACTTGAATACCATGAACATACAAGGTGTCCACAAAGTCCTCTTACTCGCATTTCTTTCTTTTTCTTTCTACAGTGCACTGACCCATGCGGAAGAACTGAAACACGTGGAAGAAATGATCATAATTGTATTCAGAAGTGATGAATTGTATTCAGTAAGAGTGTTTAACTGTGTTCAGACGTCCAGAGGATGTGTGTGAGTGTGTGTGTGTCCATCTTTTTCATGGCAGATAATGATCTGTTGCCATGTTCGGTGCTACATCTTCCCTAACATGGATGGAGTGAGGAGGCCAAACTCCTCTCTGACAGCTTGTTTGAGCTCCTCCGTTATCTCATATGGCTGTTTTATAATAGGGGGTAACAGGACTTTGAGGACCCCTGTACTTCAATACATCTGGACTGTCAAGGGTAGTCATCACACATACGGTCACCAATAAAAGAAAGAACTTGCATTTAATACTGCCTCATCTTGTCAAAATATCTCAAAGCACTTTATAGGTATCGTGGACAAGTGTAACAACTGTATTTGAATACAAATCCAGCAGCCGTTATTTTGCAGTCAGCCAGCTCCCACAAGCAGTCTTAATAATATAATCCTTGCATTTGATATAATGCCTTATCACAACTTCAAGACGTCTCAAAGCGCTTCACAGAATACACCGTAAAATTGACTGTATATTTTCTGGGCGAAATGCAGCAGCCAATTGTGCATAGCAGTGTCTCAAAAAACAATCGTGGATTGAGTGATCAAATTATTATTATAAATTTTTTTTTAAATTTGGAAGGGATTATTACCTTCGGAAATGCGATCCGCCAACCAGCTAACAACCGGGTTTCTGCTTGTTGCTAGGTAAGCAGAGGTGTGTGGAATAAGGAAACTTGCCCATCGTTTTGCCCTGACCAGGAATCAAACCCAGGTTTCTCACTTGCGAGGCGAGTGTTCTAACCACTGAGCTACGGGACTCCACAATCCATAATCTGAAAGATTGCTGGCCAGGTCACCGGGAGAAATTCCCGTCTCCTTTCCAGCAGCGCCTAACATTCACCTAACCAGGCAGTCGGGATCTCGGTTTAATGTCTCATCCAAAGGACAACACACGTCCAGTACTCTCCCAGCACAGCACTGTGTCAGCCGAGACTATACAAATTTATACAAACCTGATCCGGGGCTTGAACCCACAATTTTCTGACTCTGAGGTGAGAGCGCTACTAACTGAGCCAGGCTGACACACAAACCTTGGTCTCTTCTAAAATAGTACAATGGTTTGAACATCTCCCTGACAAACAGAGGGAGCAGACTGCCTCTGGTCAGCGCATTTTTTAAAAATATAAATAATAATAATCCTTGCATTTGATACAGTGCCTTTATCATGTCTTCGAGACTTCTCAAAGGGCTTCACAGAATATACTGTAATGTGGAGTGACTGTATATTTTGTGGGTGAAACAAACAAAATACTACCATTGTCAAGCGCTCAGGGACTCTACCCCGAGTGAAGGGCGCTATATAAATGCAAGGATTTCCACCCACTTACTGGTTCTCCTGAAACATCTCCTGTGCCACCTTGGGTACCACTTCCAAAGATTCAAAGGGCGAGTCCTTATGAATGAGCCGGTGAGCCTCTGTGGTGAGTGAGCGCAGGTTCTCCTAGGTTACAGGCAGAGACTGTGTTAGCACATCAACAACAACTTGCATTTGCATAGCGCTCTTCACACTGGGTAGCATCTCAGAGCGCTTGACAGTGGTGGAGTCTGATACCGAGCCAGGGGGAGAGGAAGTGGAAGAGGTGACTGTAAGCACGGTCACAAAGGAAGGTTTTAAGGCGGAATTTGCAAGTGGGGAGGGAGGGGGGAAGGAGGAGGGATAGAGGAAGAGTATTTCAGGGAGTAGTGGCTGAAAATGCAGCCACCAATGGCAAGCGGGACTTGCAGAAGGCCGAAGCCAGTCGAGCAGAGGCAGCTGGTAGTGTGTTGGAGGGTAAGCAAGTCGGAGAGGTTGGGAGGTGCCGGGCATACGCAGCGATCATAGCAACTCTACTGAACAAACAGACGGGACCTTGGTTTAACGTCTCACCTAAAGGACGGTACCTCCGGCAATGCAACAAACCCCCCTCCAGCGCTGCGTTGGGAGTATCAACTTAAGACTGTGTGATTCCATGTCCTGACTTTTGGCTGAGATTGCCCAAGAATTCAATATCAGGTTAGTGCAACACCCTCTGTTTACCTAACAGTAAATAGGAACCCGGTTGTTGGTCGAATGGGGGATCGCTTTTCCAGGGGTAATAATTCCTTCAAAAAAAGTAATAAATTGGTCACTCAATCTCGATGATGTGATAAGGCGCAATATCAAATGCAAGGATTATTACTATTATCATAGTCCATCGTGGACGGTGGAGCACTTTGTTGCTGCGAGACTGAGGGCTATAGTTTCAAAGAGGATGTTAACCCATTCTGACAGAAGTGCTGTACTTAGTCTGCAGGTACACATCGATGTGTCAGGCCAGAAAGCGATGCAGAAAATCGAGAGTTGCAACACAATATGTAGGTGTGTGGAGACACCTTGTGGCGTGTAAAAGAACATCACTACCACTCCCGCAACCACACCTCCCCACGACCCGCACCCACAATAAGAAGGTAATTAAAACTGGGTTTAAAAATAAATCCCAAATCGGGTCGTGATTTGCACGCATACTTAAAGAAAGGCAAGAGCTTGCATGTTTATTGTGCTTCATCACGCTGACATTTCTCACAATCCCTCAGAGTAATTACTGTCAATGTCAAGAGTAGTGGCTGTGTATTTCTAGGCAAACGCCCACGGCAACTGCAAACAGCTACAAAGTGAATGATTAATTTATCTGTGGCATTTCTGGTAAAACACTGAGAGAAACTGCCTTCTCTTTTCCAATAAGTGCCACAGGATCTTTAAAGTGCACCTGAAACTGGCAGACAGGAGCTGGCTTTAATACTTAACACTTGTAATAATATAATAATAATGTGTGTATTTGATACAGCACCTTATCACGTTTTCGAGAAGTCTCAAACCGCTCCACACAATAAAGTGAATCGACTGTATGTTTTGTGAGTGAAACAATTGGGCACAGTAGTGTTCCACATACAGTCATGGATTGAGTAACCAATTATTATTATTATTTTTTACACATTTATTTCTGAAGCCATTATTACCCCTTCAAATATGGGTTGTAGTCCCTTCTTTGGATCTGGTCAATTGTCCTTCCATCTTCCCCTCCCCATGCCCCTGGGGTACAGGTTATGCTATGAAAAATATTGAGGGGAGCAGGGGTTAAGTCATTGCAAGAAGCCCACATGTCTACCGACGAGATTATTTCACTCACCACGGAGGGCTTCCAGTCGTCCAGCCTCTCATCTAACACGATATCGTAGCAGAAAGCTCCAGAAATTACTAAAGGGCACATAAAGCAAAGTAAAATTACACAGTATTCAATGGTAATAATAACAATAATCCTTGCATTTGATATCACGTGTTCGAGACGTCTCAAAGCGCTTCAAAGGATATACTGTAAAGTGAATTGACTGTGTGTTCTGTGGGTGAAACGCGGCAGCCAATTGCGCACAGTAGTGTCCCACAAATAGGCGTGGATTGAGTGACCAAATTATTAGTTTATCATTTATTCATTTTTACTTTTTTGAAGGAATTATTACCCCAAGAAAAGCAATCTGCCAATCGACTAACAACCGGGTTCCTACATACTGCTGGGTAAACAGAGATGAAACTTGTCTAAGGTTTCGCCTGTTTAGGCGAGAACCCAGATCCTCTCGCTTGCGAGGCGAGTGCTCTGACCACTAAGCTAAACCAATATCCCACAAAACAGCCATGGAGCAAATGATCCCATTTTTTTTTTATTTGGTGGATTGTCGGCCCGGACACAGTGAGAAACATCCTACTCTTTTCAGTCCTCCTTAACGTCCACCTTAACAGGCAGAAAAGACAGGGCTGGGGTTTAACTTCTCAACCAAAAGACGGTTACACATACACAGTGACTACACTTGACAGCAAATTATAATAATCCTTACATTTGATATATCTAGAAACCGATTCAGTAACAACTTTCAAAAGGGAATTAGATAGATACTTGTAAAGGAAACAATTTCAAGGACATGGGGAAAGAGCTCTGTAATTGTAAGCGCTTTGAGATGCACCCTGCGTGAAGGGCGCTATATAAGTGCAAGTTATTGTTGTTGTAGCTCTTCCAAACAGCTGGTACAGGCACGATGGGCCGAATGGCTTCCTTCTGTGCTGTAACATTCTACGATTCTATGATCTTTGAGAAGTCTCGAAGATGTGATAAGGCACTGTATCAAATGCAAGGATTATTATTATCTAGCCTTATCTCGTGGTCGAACATTTGACGTGATGTAGTGTTGGTAAAATACCTGGTACTTCAGGGGCTCTGACCAGAGTAATGCTATACTTGTCCTTGAATGAAGTTTCAAGCACGTAACCCATTATCATAGCACACGATCGCCAATAAGCCTGTGAAGAACAGAAGAGCAGAGATCAAGGAATGAACTCAAAACAATGAATGGGGCCTGCCATCAATCTAGGACACAGTTTATTTCAGTGGAGTCCTGTAGCATAGTGGTTAGAGCACTCGCCTCACAAGCCAGAGGATCTGGGTTCGATTCCCGGGCAGGGCGAAACGTTGGGCAAGTTTCCTTACTCCACACGCACACCTCTGTTTATCCAGCAGTAAGTAGGAACCCTGTTGTTAGTTCGTTTTTATGGGATAATGATCCCTTTCAAACAAAAATAATAATTTGGTCACTCAATCCATGACTGTTTCTGGGACACTGCTGTGCGCAATTGGCTGCCGCATTTCACCCACAAAATATATACGGTGAATTCACTTTACGGTGTATTTCGTGAAGCGCTTTGAGGCATCTCAAAAACGTTGGTAAGGCGCTATGTAAAATTCAAGGATTATTATTATTATTATGAAGTGTTTAAAAAAAAAGGATGGACATTAGGCGCTATACAAATGCAAGTTTGTTCTTTTTCTTTTCCATATTCCTAGGACAGAGCCTCATTAACCAAGGTCAACTGGGGGCCGCATTTGCAGCACAACCCCGATAACATCAGAATAACCCCAGATCTGTGTAGTCTTTTTTTAAAAAATAAGTTCCAGTTGGCAGGTTTGTGGAGGAGCAGTGCATTGTGGAGACGTGTAGTGTGTTGATTAAGAGCGCTCGCCTCTCAGGCAGGGCGAAACCTTGGGCAAGTTTCCTTACTCCACATGCCTCTGTTTACCTAGCAGTAAGTAGGAACCCAGATGTTAGTCGAATGGTGGATTGCTTTGGGGGTAATAAATATTTTAATAATAATTATTATTATATAACAATCCACGACTGTTTGTGCCAGAATGCTGTGTGTAATTGGCTACCGCAGTTCAAGCACGAAATATACAGTCAATTCACTTTATTGTATATTTTGTGAAGCGCTTTCAGAAGTCTCAACAACATGATAAAGAGCTGTATCAAATGCAAGGATTATTATTATTGGATGTCTTGCAGGCTCTCTCCTGATAGCTCCCATCAAAGCAAAGCCAAAAACAATAATTGCAGTTGAACAAATTGGGTTTTGACAGCAAAATGATTTAAAAGGAGTGTTTTTAAAAAAAAAAAGTCCTTTCACTAATGACTTTCTGTTCTATCATTGAATCTAGGAGGAATCAATAACAACAACTTGTAGTTATAAAGCGCCCTCCACGCAGGGTAGCATCTCAGAGCCCTTGAAGAAAACAGGAATTAAATATGTTCAAGACGATTACCAAAAAGGAAACAAAGGGTGAATTTCTTACAGAGATATTAAAAAATCGCTTCACATTTGCACCCCTTTGACATTGCTAGCATTGGAAGCTAAATCCCCAATAGTTTTTAAGAGAGAATTCGACGCATATCAGAAAGAGGACGGGGTGGAAAAAGAGTGGTGGGACTCAAAGGAAAGCCGTTTAGTCAGCAAAGGCACAATTCTAATAATAATAATCCTTGCATTTGATATAGTGCCTTATAACGTCTTCGAGACATCTCAAAGCGCTTTACAGAATATCGTGGGCAAAACGCGCAGCCAATTGCGCACAGCAGAGTCCCCCACAAACAGCCGTGGATTGAAGTGACCAATTTATTATTTTTTTTAAGGAATTATTACCCCCAACTAACAATCGACTAACAATCGGGTTCCTACTTACCGCTAGGTAAACAGACGCGTGTAGAGTAACAACAACAATAAAATTACATTTATGGAGCGCCTTTCGCGTCGGGACGACGTCCCAAAGCGAGTAAGGAAGCTTCCCAACCTAAATTAATCAAGTGTGTCCAAAAATGCATTTGCCACTTTCCCTATAGTGTAGACACTGAGTTTTGTTAGGTTCACAATTCCGTTGGATATCAGGAACACTCTTGCTCAAGTGGCCAATCTTCATGTTTGTTAATCCCACCCCTCTGCTCTTCCAAACCCTCCCCTACCCTTTTACATTTTTCTTTATCAAATACGCATCTAATTCTCTCTCAACAGAGAGCGTGGGCAAGGTTTTCGACAAGAACTGGTGGCATTTATACAGTGCCTCTCACAAAACACAAATTATTAATAATAATTGCATTTGATACAGCGCCTTATTACCTAAACTCTTCACAAGATACACTGCAAAATGGATTGACTATATTTTGTGTGTGAAAACTAGCAGGCAGTTTGCGCACAACGTTTTACCTGGGGAGATTGTTAGCCAGCTCACCGGGAGAGAGAGAGAAACTCCCTTTTCTTTGCAAATAGCGCCACAGGATCTTTAACATCCACCTGAACAGGGCACAGATTCGGTTTAACGTCTCACCCGAAGGACAGCACCCCCAGCACTGCATTGGAGCGTCAGCTGAGACTGTGTGATTACAAGTCCCAATGTGAGGTTTGAACGCATGATCTCTTGACTCAGAGACGAGAGAGCACTACCACTGCCCCAGGTTGGAATTCGCCTTAAACTTATTTCAGAAAGTCGAGACATTACCTTATTAACTTCTTCAGGGTTTTCATCCTTGAAAGTCAGGAACTGGATATCACAAGACTTGTGGAATGGTCGATACATATCCCAGACTTCCCCATCCACAAGGGCCAGCACTGACCGCCTGCATTGCCACTCACTGAGATCTGTACGAACAGGAGGAGGTTACGTGGAGCAATTACAGATAATAATATAATAATCCTTGCATTAGATATAGCGCCTTATCGTGTCGTTAAGACATCTCAAAGCCCTTCACAGAATATCCTGTAAAGTGAACTGACTGTTGTTTGTGGGAGGAGTGTGGCAGCCAATTGCGCACAGCAGCATCCCACAAACAGTCGTGGATTGAGCGACAATATTTTATTTTGAGTATTATTATCCCCAGAAAGCGGTCCGACATTCAACTAACAACCAGGTTCCTACTTTCTGCAAGCCAAACAAAGGTTTGCGTGTGGAGTAAGGAAACTTGCCTAAGGTTTCACCCTGCCCAGGAATCAAACCTGGATCCTCTCGCTTGCGAGATGAACGCACTAACCACTACGCTGTGGGATGATGGAATAAAGGGAGCTTGAAACAAGAGGGAGAGCGCAATAAGACCGGAACAGGAAGAGTTTCCTTCTTGATCGTGCTTATGGTCATTTCCCCCCTCACTCTCCCCCTGGCTCGTTGTCAGACTCCATCACTGTGAAGCGCTCCTGGGCATTTGAAAGGCACTGTATAAATCCAAGTTGTTGTTGAGTTCAGGGAGTATGTCAGGAGAACAGGGCAAGGAGGAGGTAGAGAATTGGAAATAACAAAGATGGACAACTCACGCATGGCACAGTTGTAAGGGGTAGAGAGCCCCTTGTTCATGATGAAGACAGTCCCAGGGTCTGACGTTCCCACATATTTAACTTCAATCTTCTCGATGCGGGGGATCAGTGACCTCTGTCTCTCTTTCTCCTTGTTGAACAGCTGGATGCGCTTCTGAACCAGCTCGGAGCTCGTCAGGCGCGAAGACGCTGCAGACGTGCAGAGAAATCCTGAAAGGACAGAAAGCGAAGGTCACTCACCAGTATTTTTTTTTCCTCCCAGAAAATCCTTCTACCTATCAATGAGTTTGTAACTTAGATAATAATAATCCTTGCATTGATATAGCGCCTTATGACATCTTCAAGATATCTAAAAGCTCTTCACAGAACATACTGTAAGGTGAATTGATTGTACATTTTGTGGTCGAAACGTGAGAGTCAAAAGCGCACAGCAGTGTCCCACAAACAGTCGTGGATTGAAGTGACCAATTTATTATTATTCATTTTAATTTATTTTTGAAGGAATTATTACCCCTGGAAAAGCGATCGAATAACAACCGGGTTCCTACTTACTGCTAGGTAAACAGAGGTGTGCGTATGTGTGTGGAGTAAGGAAACTTGCCCAAGATTTCACCCTGTCTGGGACTCGAACCCAGATCTCTTGCTTGCGAGGCGAGTGCTCTAACCACTGAGCTACAGGCTCCACTGGCCTGTCTCATATTGCCTACCTTATCTGTCCCACCATCAGCAGGGAGGCTTGTACTCTCTGAAATTCCATCCGAGATTCTCTTTCTGACTTGCTCCCTTTCTCTCTCCCTCCCTCACCTCAATCAAGATCTCTCCGAAGATGTACCTCTTAAGACCATGCTTTAGTTTATTTTTCCCCTCCATAGCCACCCCCACCACCGCCTCCCATCCCCTGCTCGGGTGCCAAGGCAGGGCTGTTTAATCCTCTGGGACTTCCTCCCCTCCCAGTAGTGTTGCACGATTGTTTGTGGGGACGCTGCTGTGCGCAATTGGCTTCCGTGTTTCGCCCACAAAATATACAGTCAATTCACTTTACAGTATATCCTGTGAAGCGCTTTGAGATGTCCAGAAGACATGAGAGGGCACTATATTAAATGCAAGGATTATTAGTATTATTATAAAGCACTGTATAAATGTAAATTTGAATTATATTGTACAGGCCTAAATTTAAAATGACAGGAAAAAGCTCAAAGGGAAATTTCTTTAACACAAATTATTTGACACGAACACACACTGGGTTATTAGGATGCAGAGTGTCTCAGGCTGAATCCATAACTTTTAAAAGTGATTCAGCCAGAGAGGTCACTCGCCTCACAAGCAAGATGACCTGGATTCGATTCCCCGGCGTTAGGCAAGTTTCTTTACTCCACACGCCTCTGTTTAACAAGCAGTAAATAGGAACTGGTTGTTAGTCGATTGCAGATTGCTTTTCCGGGGATAATAATCCCTTCAAAAAATAAATAAAATAATAAGAACTTGGTCGCTCAATCCACAACTGTTTGTAGGACACTACTATACGCAATTGGCTGCCATGTTTCGCAAAGTCAATCCACTTTATGATATATCCTGCAAAGCGCTTTGAGATGTGATAAGGCGCTATATCAAATGCAAAGATTATTATTATTATTGTTGTAAAATCTGTGATTCAATAAGGAATGTTGTGGCATTGCTGTAAAGCTTGAAAGTACTCCTGATATCCAGATATACGTGCTCTAAAGTGCCAGTGGTTGAGTTATCCTGAATCCCTCCACAGGAAATTCCAATTTTATAGGAACAGGACCAGACTGCTTGTCCCCAGGTCCCAGTCCCTTTACAGGCACTCCGGCGAAAGAGAAGCATAGCCCGAATTTTGAGAGCAGTTTCAGAGGAAGTGGTGATGTCTAAATAGAAATATCAGATCAGCATCAGAGGGTTTTGTTTGTTTTCTGGCGTTTCGTGGGTGTGGTACCCTGAGAGGAAGTGCTTCCAACCTCAACAGCCTTGAGCTAGGACCGTAGCTGGAATCCTTATGCATGTTGACATTTTATCAGAGTGAGTCAAGGCAAGGTCAAAGAGCTTGTCCCAGTGCTCACCCTTTATATGCGTGAACAGTGACCACTTGGGCGAGATATTGGTGAGTTTTTTTTGTCTGTACATCTGCATTCCAGCAGAGAATCAGGTACAAAACACCAGGGAGATGGGTAGAAAGAGAGAGAGAGAAACAGGAGAGGAAATGGACAGAAGAAACACAAGAAAGAGACTTGATAAAATTGAAGTATAATTATAATTATTAAGAAAAGAAACATAATTTAAAAATAATACTTGCATTTGATATAGTGCCTTAACACGTCGTTGAGAAGTCTCAAAGCATATCAGAGAATGTACTGTAAAGTGAATTGACTGTATATTTTGTCGGCAAAAAGCAGCAGACAATTGTGCCCCCAGCGTCCCACAAACAGTCATGGATTGAAGCGACCAATTTTTTTTAAAAAAGGGATTATTACCCTCAGAAAGCGATCCGCCAGTCGACTAACAATTGGATTCTTGCTTACTGCTAGATAAACAGAGACGCATGCAGTAAGAAAACTTGCCCAATGTTACGCCCTGCAGGGAATCGAACCCAGGTCCCCTCGCGAAGGGAGTCGAGTGCTCCAACCACTGAGCTACAGGACTCAGTTCCAGAGGGGGGAAAAAATAGCAGATGGTCTGCTTGCTGTGCTGGGGATGTTTTTGCATTGTCGGAGGTACCATCCTTTGGATGAGACGTTAAACCGAGGTCCCGTCTGCCTGTTCAGGCGGACGTTAAAGATCCCGTGGCACTATTTGAAAAGAGAAGTGAGTTTTCCTCGCTCAGTGTCCTGCCAGACAATCCCCCAGATAAAACTGGTCACTTAATCCACAACTGTTTGTGGGACATTGCTGTGTGCAATCCCTGCTGCTGCACTTCACCCAAGAAGCACACAGTGAATACACTTCACAGTATATTTCTGTAAAGCACTTTGAGGCGCCTCCACCGAAGTGAATAAATAAGGCGATGTATCAAATGCAAGTATTATTTATTGGTTTATTCAAAAGTCATATCAATTACAAACTTGCGCTCTCTTCCTCAATCCCCTGAGGAGGGTGGGGTGGGGGGGGGCGGATGAGGAGGGGGGGGCGGATGAGGAGGGGGGGTGAGGTGGGTGAGCAGGAGAGGGGGATGAGGAGTGGGGCAGAGAAGGAGGGGGTGAGAGGGAAGGGGAGAGGGTGAGGGGGAAGGGGGTGAGGAGGAGGGTGATTTGTTGAGGGTCAGTGAGTATGGGGGGGGTTGGAGAGGGAGGAGTTGAGGAGGGGGGGTTGAGGGAGTGAGGAGGGGTTGGAGGAGGAAGGGAGGGAGGGATGAGTGAGAGGAGTGGAGGGAGGGATGAGTGAGGGGGGTTGAGGGAGTGAGGAAGGGGGGGTTGAGGCGTGAGGAGCGGGGGTTGAGGGAGGGAGGATGGAGTGAGGAGGTGGGTTGAGGGAGGAGGGATGGAGTGAGGAGGGGGGTTGAGGGAGTGAGGAGGGAGGGTTGAGGGAGTGAGGAATGGGGGTTGAGGGAGTGGGGAATGGGGGTTGAGGGAGTGCGGAAGGGGTTGAGGGAGTGAGGAGGGGGTTGAGGAGGGAGGGATGGAGTGAGGAGGGGGTGGAGGGAGTGAAGAAGGGGGGGTTGAGGGAGTGAGGAAGGGGGGGTTGAGGGAGGGAGGAAGGGGGGGGGTTGGAGGGAGGAGGAAGGGGGGGGGGTTTGAGGGAGGGAGGAGGGTTGGAGGAGGAGGAAGGGGGGTTGGAGGGAGGAAGGGGGGGTTGAGGGAGTGAGGAAGGGGGGTTGAGGGAGTGAGGAAGGGGGGTTGGAGAGAGGAAGGATGGAGTGAGGAGGGGGGGTTGAGGGAGTGAGGAAGGGGGGTTGAGGGAGGGAGAGGGAGTGAGGAGGGGGTGAGGGAGGGATGGAGTGAGGAGGGGGGGGAGGGAGGGAGGATGGAGTGAGGAGGGGGGGTTGAGGAGGGAGATGGAGTGAGGAGGGAGAGGGGTTGAGGGAGGGATGGAGTGAGGAGGGAGAGGGGTTGAGGGAGATGGAGTGAGGAGGAGATGGAGTGAGGAGGGAGAGGGGTTGAGGGAGGGATGGAGTGAGGAGGGAGAGGGGTTGAGGGAGGGAGGGATGGAGTGAGGAGGGAGAGGGGTTGAGGGAGGGAGGGATGGAGTGAGGAGGGAGAGGGGTTGAGAGGG